CCAATAGCAAATGGAGAGGCAAGAGAGAGAGAGAGAGGGGAGGTGTGAAATTCGGCTCTAGGAACCCTAGGTATCAAGTCCCTGAATTTCTTATGCTAAGGGGTCTTTATATAGGTGTAGGAATTAGGGTTTCAGTCCTTATCCTTATCTGGTTGCTTAGCCACCAAGCAGCCCAAAGGATAACCCTAGAAACCTTATCATGGACGAATTCTACGGCCTTATCCCCTTGAATTCTTCCACCCTATCATATAGGGCATCCTTTGCCCTACTTTGCAACTATCACATAATTACAGTTCAGTCCCCCTAGTTCAATTAACTTCTTTTGATCACAAAATTAATTCTTAATTAATTATTGATCAATGTTAATTAAACAAATATGATTTCTCTTTTAATATATTATTCTTATAATATATTAATAAACCATAATAACCTCTTTCTCTATTATTTCTCCAGTCAAGTTGCTTTGGTGAAGGCAACCCAAAAGGACCATGCACAACCGGGTCAAGTACTTACCAAATATGGTTACGGGCTTAGACACTAATCCAACAGTGTCATATCCTACCCGTTCGGCTAACGACCATCCACTAGTCAAGAGTGTGGTGGGTAAGAGTGGATACCCATTCAATCGCCATTTTATAGGCATTTCCTTAAACACCCCTTATAGACCAGCTTCGTGAATGAAGCCTACTAACGGTAAGACTGACATTTACTTATACATATATAATATTAAACTTTTAATTCTATATAGTATAAGGTTGTATTTTACACTTTTAAAATACTATGTGGTTCAATCTATTTCTTTTAAAATACTATGTAATTTGAACTTTTCAAAGTACTAGGGTTTTAGAATTCAATAGTTCAAAATTAATACCTTTTAATTAAATTTTAAATTCCAAAACTTGAGGACAAGTTTTGAAACCTTTCAAAACATTAGGGTTTAACTATTTAAATTTCAAAAACTAAAACTTTTAAGTTCAAATTTAAACTATAAAACCTAAAGGGTGTAATTTGAAACTTTTTAAACTTACTAGGTCAAATATTTGACTCATAATAATCCTATATTATCCATATTTAACCAAATCCATTAATTTTGATAAGGATAATCATTCCAAACATAAAAAATCGATTTTAGGCAATAGAAACAAGTTTTGGTAATTATCCTTAACAAAATCTGCTCAAAAAATTGAAAATCCCGGCAACAGCACATTGGACTCGCCGAGTCCACTGATAGACTCGTCGAGTCCACTGATAGACTCGTCGAGTTCATGCAACTCGCCGAGTCGACTTCGCAGACAGCAAAAAATTCGATTTTTTGATCTTTTGGCAATTCACTTTTGCATCTATTCAACTAGAAAAACGACCTAGGCTCTGATACCACTATTGGGTTATGTGCATAACATCATTCCTATGGTGTTCATGCAACCTTAATTACTTTGATCTAGGTTTTGCGAATTTGAACATACAACATTGAATACCAAAGTAATAAACCCTAAATAAACACCAAAAGTACTTCAAGGAGGAAGAATGAGCTCACAACACGCAAAAGTGGCTAGGATTTTTCTCAAAGGACGTTCTGGAGGTTGAAGAGGCAGAGAATGAAGAACCATATGGTTTTGTGCCTCTTACATAAGCCTAATTCTTGAGATAAGGCCACCAACCCAAAGGCTGGGGCGTGTCGCGCCGTGATATTGGACGCTTCGCGTGTCCCAGGTAAAATTCTAGTTCTTAACAATTAAATCCTTCACGTTTTGTACCTTCCTTCTATCTGTCTACAGACTATAAAACAACCAATCAAAGAATGAAAACACAATCAAAATAAAAGTGTTACACTTCAAAGAACAAAGAAGGCGGTACCCTCAAACTCCCCTAAAAAAAGTAAACATGAAACCCTATTTTAACAGTTCTCACTAGACTTTCCAAGTCTAGCATTATATTTTGGCATGTATTTAGATTAAGGATCTTAATGTTTCACGAAGTAGAAGAACTTGGAATTTCAGAAGACTTTTGGAATGTTATAGTTAGTAAAACTTAACTAATTCTTTGATGATTTCTTACAACCTCACACATGGTCAACCTTTAAACAATTAAATTCTAGGCCTATTATTTACACAACAGACTTTTATGATGGAACTAAATGAATTTAAAGCTAATAACTTTCAACATGTGTGAGGGGTGTTTCAATCTCCTTCAACAACGTGTTATCGTCAAATATGGTGTAGCTCTCACAAATTCATCAAGCGTGTATGGAATATCCATCAATCAATATAAGTAAAACAAAAATATGAATTTTATAAGTGATTTTATATCCATCTGCTTGCTTAGTGCGATCATCCTTGGTAAACATTCAATTTATCATATCATATAACTAGAACAAAAAAATTATTCAACCATAGATAATCAGGGTAAAATATTTAATCCGCAATTACATTTTCAACCAATTCAACTATCATCCAATTCACATTCATTTTTTCCAATAACAAGCTAAATTAACCACAAATTGAACTTTTATTTTAGATGCATAGTTTAAAATTGTGAATCATATTGAAAAGAGTAGTATTGGATTTAAATCTTGACTTGTAGCAAGCTAATCTTTCTCTCTCTCTTTCTCTCTCCCTTTTTATCTCTTAATCTCTCACACCTAAACCTTTGCAACATGGTGGAATTTCATGTACATATCGACATAGACAATGGAAGTAGGAGATGAAATAAATGACATAGAGGAAGACGACGACTCATTTGAAGCCTTACCCATGAGAATATAGGTTATTTTTAGATTGATGGTCCTTTGGTTAAATGAGAATGAGTATGGGTCAAATATGGTGGGCACGAACGCCATTAATTTGATTGACATAAGAGAAAAAAGTAGGGGTTTTAAGGAGCTTTATTCTGCTTTTGATTCTTCAGAGAACCCTGGGTTAATGTTGTTTCGACAGTGCATAAAGCTTCTCCATTGTCACATGCGTCATTCTTGTCTTGTTTGCCCGCATATAATCAAATGATACTTCCTTCATTAATAATCATACATGTGGCCGAAGATGAAACTGGTGAAATTGGTGAATGAGAGGAACAACCGTAAAGGGTAGGAGGTTGTCGATGCTTTTTGGTCGGCGATGTTGGTCATAGAGAAGACGAGAATAAGTGAGAAAAGAAAGAATTGGTGGGGGTGGGTGAGTTATTATATTAAAATAATAATTTATATCTAACTAGATAATAAAAAAGCCAAAATTATTTGCATTAGGGTACTATATATAAATGAATAAATGGACCGGTCGAACCGAACCGCACTAGCCTTGAATCGGAACCAACACCAGACAAAACTGATCCTACACTATATGGGACGGTTCCCGATTCCATCAAATAACATAATACGGTTCTTGGTTCTAACGGTTCCGATTCCATTTGGACCAAACCCGGGATACCAAAATGACTTAATGGGTCTGGAAACGACTTAATGGGTTGGAAAACGACTTAATGACTAAATGAGACTGAAGATGACTTAATGAGACCAAAAATGACTTAATGGGTATGAAAAACGACTTTGGAACATAAAACAGATACTAGAACATGAAACTGTTTAGTCCTCAGCGGTCCGGATCCTGGTTCTTCATTTCAGCTTCGATCGATTCCCGATTCTTTAGGTTCCGGTCCGGTTCTAGAACCATACTCATGCCTAGTACTATAGTTGTTTTTTCCCTATAAATGGTAAATATTGCCAACTAACGAAAAATAGTTGTTTTATATGAACTAGAGACCAAAACGACAAGCTTTGAAAACCACAATGATACAGATATTAATTTTTTGAAAGTTGGTCTGAAATGGCAAAATCACAAAGATCATTTATGTAGTCTACTTTATTAAAAATAAAATACTACATCATGTAGTCTACCCTATTAAAAAATAAAATACTGCTCGCATTAATTTTAATAAAAATAATTTTAACATCAATATGTGGCTGCTTGTAGTAGATATGAAACAATCTCTTGGTACACTTTGAAGCCACATCTGGTCCACTCTTCAGAATTTATGGCTTACCTGAAGGATCCTATAACGAAATTAATTTTCAACCTAAATTTCACAATCTAATAAATGAATATGCTCTTATACCCATTATAATATTTCTTATAATATGTTAATTAAACGACAACTATTATGCTATCATATACACATTTGTTCTTTAAATTTAAACAATTTGCTAAATACCTCACACCCTCTCCTTCACACCTCAATTATTATTCAATTCTAATAAAATATATACTTACTTTTTTATTGAATAAAATATTGGTAGACTTTCCTCCCTTGTTCCCTTGGTTAGTTGAGCTAGATTTAATGTTGATTTTGAGTCCGAATGAGAGAGAATGTGTGGGTTTTAGAGAGAGAAATGTATATCCTCTTCTGGGTCTGACCCGACTTTCCTTTTCTTTCTGATCTGTTTGGTGCCTTCCATCTGTTTGTAGAAAGTCCACAGTGAAAATTTTCATCTGAATCATTACAAACGCGCATAACTCACCCTTTCTGTTGAAGGGTTTCATGGTTTTCTTTTTTCACAAGGTATGGATCTCTCATCTTGCATTATTTACTGTGATTTCTGTGCCCTAATTGAGGTTTTGTTTTGTAGTCTTTTACTGCTTTTGAGATGAGTTCGAAATTTTCTTCGATCTACTTGCTTGAATCCCTCAAAAATTAAACAAAAACCCTAATTTTTGTCTTAATTTTGACTTTTTCTGGAGTTCGCGAGTCCAAAAGTCAAAGACTGTGGCTTTGATTTGATGGGTTTCGTTTTGGTGTTTTACTTTAATTTTGACATGGCTTCTGTTCTTCTGATCTTATTTTCAGCTCTAGTACCCTAAAATGCTGATTTTGATGGATTTTTAACCTCTCATCAACAGGTAGGTTTTTCTTGTGCATTTTCTTCACTGTGATATTTTTAATTGGGTTTTATTCAGTTTTTATATTTTTCTTAATATATATTCACTTTCCAACCTGAGAAATCTAGTGAAGATATGGCTGAGGTTGGTGTATACAACCTGCCTAGATAATTGCTGATTTTTGCAAAAAAAAGGTCCATAAAATCTAAAGAAACAAAAGAAAATGCATTTTATACATTTTAGATAGGAAAGTTTTGACTTTTATAGATTGTAATCACTCTATATTGCCAAATTTTGTAGAACAGACATTAGTTTCTTCAAATCTTTTTGTTCATAAACAGCAATATAAGCTATATAACCATTGATTTTGTTTCAAGATTCCGCTGTTCCACCATTGTAACAGGGTACTTTAGTCATTTCATTAATCATCAAACACCTTTTCTAAATTGTTTTCCGCAATTTTGATTAAATTTGTTCTTATGATTCTCTCAATTGTTTAATTCCCTAAGTTAGCTGACTTTCCATTGAATATTGAAAGTAATATATGTCGATCCTTGTGCAATCTTTTTCATCTTTTTTTGTATTCCCATTTTACTAATTTACCCTCATGCACTTCATCATCTCAATGGTTATAGTTTCTTAAATTAGCCAACTTTAGATTGAAGCTTAAACATAAAATATATCGATATATTCACATTGGTTTTCATTTTTTCTATATTCCCAATTTACCCTTACACTCTTCATCACCTCAATGGTTTTACTTCCATAAATTATCCCACTATAGATCGAATCTTGAAAGTAAAATAAAAAACACATCGATCTTTTCCGTTCTTTTTCTTCCCTAAATTCCCAATTTACCCTTACACTCTTCATCACCTCAATGGTTCTACTTCCATAAATTAGCTAACTTTAGATCGAATCTTGAAAGTAACAAAAAAAACACATCGATCTTTTCCGTTCTTTTTCTTCTCTAAATTCCCAATTTACCCTTACACTCTTCATCACCTTAATGGTTCTACTTCCATAAATTATCCAACTTTAGATCGCATCTTGAAAGTAAAAAAAAAAAAAAAAACACATCTATCTTTTCCATTCTTTTTCTTCCCTAAATTCCCAATTTACCGTTATACTCTTCATCACCTCAATGGTTCTACTTCCATAAACTACCTACCTTTCAACCGAATCTTGAAAGTAAAACAAAAAAACACATCGATCTTCTCCGTTCCTTTTCTTCTCTTTATTCCCAATTTACCCTTACGCCCTTCATCATCTCATCCTACATTCCTACTATCTAACCACTTACCATTTTTTGCAGCCAATCTACATCAAAGAGTGAGTTCACGTGTTCATCAATTTAAAAAAAAAAAAAGAAAAAAAAATGTCTTTTCGTAGCATAGTTCGTGACATGAGGGACGGATTTGGAAGTTTATCAAGGCGTAGTTTTGACGTGAGGCTTTCAGGGCATCACAACAGAGGAAAATCTCAAGGTTCAATTAATGATTTAAATGATAATGGACCTTCCTTAATTGTCCAAAATAGTAGATGGGCGAATCTACCCCCAGAGCTTCTTTTTGATGTAATAAAAAGATTAGAAGAAAGTGAAAGCACATGGCCTTCAAGAAAACATGTTGTTGCTTGTGCTGCTGTTTGTAGATCATGGAGAAGTATGTGTAAAGAAATTGTTAGAACTCCTGAATCTTGTGGGAAGCTCACTTTTCCAGTTTCATTAAAACAGGTATTTATTATTTAATCAAATAATCAAATAATCAAATAATATTTAATACCAATCTTGATTTAATGATTTTGTATTTGAGTTTACAGCCGGGCCCACGTGATGTTACGATTCAATGTTTCATCAAAAGGGATAAATCCAATTTGACATATCATCTTTATCTGTGTCTAAGTCCAGGTCAGCATTTAAAGATTTATAGTATTATTGTACTTTAGTTTTATTTCTTATTAGGACTTTATTCTTTGAATAATCAAAATCAACCAATGGAAAATTCCAAGCTTTCTATATTCACACAACATATTTTAATTTAGGGTTAATTTCATAAAAGACCTTATATTTTGTGTTTTTTTTCCGGATTAAACCTCAACTTTATTTTTTTTTCTTGAAAAAGACCTTGCATTTTTTCATTTTTTTCGATCTGGTCCTTTTAGTCAATTTTTTCAGAAAAAACTTGTAAAATGTGAGGGTTTTTTCGGAAAAAACTAAAAATGTTGACGTTTTTTTTTCGGAAACAATTAGAAGGTTGAGGGGTTTTTTTGGGAAAAATGAGGTTTTCTTTGGAAAAAATGAAAAAATACAAGGTCTTTTTCAGGAAAAAAGATAAAGTCGAGGTTTAATCCGGAAAAAACACAAAATATAAAGTCTTGTATGAGATTTTTTTAACCCTTTAATTTATTTGTGTATTATAGCACCCTGCTTTCATTTCTTTCCATTACATCATTGTACTTTTATCTTTTTTTTTTATCAAAGTCATAGTAGTTTGAAATATCTGCTTTCATTTTTTTTTTCTCATTAGGTCATTTGACTTTGAAAAATATTCCCAAATTATAGAATATAAATTTCTTTGTATTTGGATGAAATTGCTATAATGTGTAGAATTTTTAAAGTACAATTGCTGTAATAGGAAATATAAAAGCAAGATGCTATAAATATAATAAACAAATAAAAGAAAGTACATTGCTATTAATATTATGATATACCCTTTGGATAATAAAGATCATATCTGATTTTACAGCTGCTTTACTAGTTGAAAATGGGAAATTCCTGCTTTCTGCAAAAAGAACTCGAAGAACTACTTGTACTGAGTATGTCATCTCCATGGATGCTGAAAACATTTCAAGATCAAGCAACACTTATATTGGAAAACTCAGGTATAAAATATTGAAATCAACCATTTTCATTCCATTATCCAAGGGCAATTTTGTCAAAAGTTGTGAAATAATGGGGAATGTCTGTTTTCCCTCATAATCTCTATTAACTCATTCTTTCGGCAACATCTCCAACGTTAAAATTAATGAAAAGTGTGAAATTTGAAATATAAGGGTAGTTTGGTCATTTTGTCTCGTTCAAGACCGTTTATCCTGTCTAGAAAAAGGAACAAAAGACCTTTATGTATACAACACTTTATCCAGACAGACATCATCACCCATTCAACTACTTTATCCATATATCCATAATAAGGATAGTTTGGTCATTTTTGTATTTTGTTCAGATGTAAATTTCGTTAAAATTAATGAAATTTGTTTCTTGAAATATAAGGGTAGTTTGGTCATTTTGGTGTTTGATCTAAATTTCGTTATAACT